TATGCGCACTATGCTCAGGAAGCCACCCTGCTAGCTACAAAGGATGCCAGGTGTATAGGGAAGTCCTAGCAAGAAAGAAAATTGGAAACAAGGTCCAGCCATATCTAAAATCAAGAACCACTCTGGAAGTGCGGACTAAGAACTCTGAAAATAATGAGCCCCCTAATGACATGGATGTGATAGTCATTGAGCCTGATAATCACTCCAAGACTACCCAACTGAAACATCGGCTACCAAGCGTAAAAAGAATCCCTGGGACCCTATAGTGAAGCTCCCAAAAATTCAACCAAATCTGTAGCATACCATACAGAGACACAAAAATCATACACGAGAGATAACACTGACCAAACGGAACGACAGATACACAGGAAAGACAAAGTTGACCATATAGATTCACAGAGAACAAATACAGAAAACCACGTTGACCATGAGTCACAAAGAACATACCTGAGAAAAATAGAACTCGGGCAAGAAAATAGATTCAGTCTAGAAGCACTTATAGTGAAACAGACTGAAAGAATCGATCAACTCATTTCACAACTGAGCACAATGATGAACCTCATCATGACAATCATCAGTAGGCTTCCACAATGATGTCGTTACGTATCGCTACCTGGAATATCAATGGCCTAACGCCAAATAAAAAAGAATTAGAAATAATGTTAAAACATAACAAAATCGACATTGGTTTAATATCTGAAACCCACCTAAATGACCGTAAGAATATTAAGATAGACAACTATGACGTATATTATACTAACCATCCCGATACCACATCACACGGAGGATCAGCAGTAATTGTAAAGAGTAACATCGGACACCACCTCCATAGCGAGTTTCGGGAAGACTGGATGCAAGCCACTACCATCACTATAAATGCAAGCATGGGCCCCATCAATGTAAGCGCTGTATATTGTCCACCAAAGCATAAACCGAAACAACACATGTTTGACCGCTATTTTAAAAGCTTGGGAAACAGATACATAAGTGGTGGGGACTGGAACTGTAAACACACTCATTGGGGATCAAGATTGACAAACAGCAAAGGACGTGAGTTGAAAAAATGTGTCGATAAACACAAACTTATTACACTGGGAACAGGTAAACCAACTTATTGGCCAACAGATGTCAACAGAATACCCGACCTAGTGGACTTTTTTGTGGTGAAGGGACTGTCTGATGTGTATTTTGACGTGGCATCATCGTCTGATGGTGGGTCTGACCACACCCCTATCATAGCAACATTTAGCGTTTCCGCTATACATAGAGCACAGAGACTGGCGCTATATAATCATAAAACAGACTGGGACGCATTTGCTGAATACTTAGAAGATGAAGTTGAACTAAAGGTTAGGCTCAAAACAGAAGAAGATATAGATGAGACAACATTCTACATCACGAATCTCATACAAGTAGCTGCGTGGCGTGCCACCCCGACACTGAGCTCTTCCAATCAATTAGGTAACATACCACTGGAAATACGCAACAAACTGGAAGAAAAACGAAGACAAAGAAGGCGATTACACACCAGCAGATCAGATGTAGACAGGTCGGAATTCAATAGAATATCTAGAGAACTAAAAGAGTTAATTAAAGAAAATCAAAACACAACCTTCCAAGAAAAACTCTGTACACTCTCGGCTCATAAGAAGGATAATTACTCACTCTGGAAAATAACTAAGAACTTTAAAAGACCACATAACCATATACCACCTATAAGGATATCTACGAACGATCCGTGGGCTAGGAGCGGCAGTGAAAAGCTGAACTTTTCGCTAGACACCTAAGCGAAGTCTTCAAACCAAACCAATCATCCATGACTGAGTTTGAAGAGGAAGTGGATAGAATGATCAACAGTGACCAGCAGTTATCACTACCGCTAAAACTTGTCACTCCACAAGAATTAATGCGCACAATAAGCTATCTGGAAAACAAAAAGGCTCCTGGTTTCGACCTAATAACGGGTGAAATCCTTAAAAAACTACCTAGAAAAGCAATAGTACTTTTAACAATGTTATTCAATGCCATTTTTAGAATACAGTACTACCCAAAGCTATGGAAGATATCACAAATAATTATGATTGTAAAGCCAGGGAAACCCCCAACAGAACCTAGCTCATACAGGCCTATAAGTCTTCTCCCAACAATATCTAAGGTTTTTGAAAAAACTCTTCTGCGGAGACTAAAACCAGTCCTGGACCAAAACAGAATTATACCCGATCACCAATTTGGTTTCCGGGAAAAACATGCTACTGTAGAACAAGTACACCGAGTGGTTCACAAAATAAGACAATCGCTAGAGAAAAAGAATATTGTTCAGCAGTATTCATAGATATTCAGCAGGCATTCGATAGAGTTTGGCACAAAGGATTGTTGTACAAGCTGAAAACCCTCCTACCAAACTCATTCTATATGATCCTAAAATCTTATCTAGATCAAAAGAAGATTCCAAGTAAAGTATGAGGAGGAACTTTCAAGGCTCTATTACATCACTGCCTCAGTTCCACAAGGATCAGTGCTTGGCCCAGTCCTTTATTCAATATATACGGCAGACTTGCCTGAAACAGAAAATGTCGTAACAGCAACATACGCAGATGACACTGCATGCCTTGCAAGCGATGTAAACGCGAATAACGCTTCACTGAAACTACAGGAACAGCTCAATAAGGTGAACGTGTGGCTGCAGAGGTGGAGAATCAAGCCTAGCATAACTAAATCAATACAAGTAACATTTACACTGCGAAAGGGCGACTGTCCACCTGTGCATATAGAAGACAAACCGTTACCAAGCAAAAACAGCGTGAAATATCTCGGACTACATCTGGACAGAAGACTGACCTGGGCTAATCATATAAAAGCCAAGAAAACAGAAGCCACCTTGAAATTCAAAGAGCTATCATGGCTTCTAGGCCAGCAATCTAGGCTGACCCTGAGTAACAAATTGCTTGTGTACAAGGCCATCATACAACCAGTGTGGACATATGGAATAGAACTCTGGGGGCTGTGCAAGCAATTCTAACATCGAAATCCTCCAAAGATTTCAAAACATTGCACTGAGAACTATTTCATGTGCACACTGGTTTGTGAGAAACACGGAAATACACGAATATCTGGAGATGCCAACCGTAAAGGAAGTAATCCGCAAAAACAGTAGTAGATACAGGGAAAGGTTAACCAAACATACAAATGAGCTGGCTAAGAATCTGCTAACCCCAGGAGATGATGTAACTCGCCTAAAAAGATGGCAAATACTAGACCTAGACCAGAGAAACTGACCTACAATAAAAAATCCAGTTTCTACCAACACTTACGGTGCCTTTCAATGGAATCGCACCCAACCAAAATTAACCTCAGAAAATATCTGATTATGGCTGATAGCCGATTGCAGATGAACAAGAACAAAAAAAAAAAAAAAAAAAACATTTATTTCGTCAAAAAATTAAACCTTCATTTTAAACAATAAATCGATCTAATTGCACCAAAGTTCACTATTCATCGCAGCGTAAGACAGTTTGACAGAAACAGACGAAAAAGGTTTAAAGGCCGGCAACGCACTCGTACATGTATTCTCTTCGTTGGACTCGCTAGTAATAGACGAGGAATTAGGCTAATCCTTTGTAGGAGGATTTACTAAATAACTTTTGGTTAGCTTTTGTGGATGACAGTCCGTTCTTAATGATTTATGTGGTCGTAAATGTTTACTTCGATCTGTATTATTCTGAACTGAGACTCCAGGTTATAATGGACGTCAAACATTTGCTAACTTACTCTGTATAATTTATACTATTAAAAACTTGTATTGTAACAATTTAAAATAAAGAACTTTTGTTCATGTAACATGCTACAAAGATGCAAGGAACGAAGGAGGTATTAAATAGCGACTTCTTCCTTGCGTCTTTTTCCCTTTGTGTAACATTATTGGTTAGCTTATAAGATCGTCGAAAACACAAACAAAAAAAATATACTTATGTCGAATATATCCAGGTTGTGGCTGTTAAAAACCTATTTTACATGACATGTATTAGTTTTATTAATGTCTTTGGCCTTTAACAATAGGAAGTATTGTTCGCTTCGTTATAAATGATTTCTGTGTATATTATTTTTCATGTTTTAGGCTTTCAAACGTAATATTTCGTAGATCGTAAATATTTTTATTTCAAATTAAATAATGGTTCGAAAATTATCATTTTCGATATGTGTTGACATGTGTTTTTGTGTGATTACAAATGTATTAAGTGATTAATTATTTTTTACAATATTCAGTAACTATATTAAACTATGATAGACGACGTAATGACTAGCATGCCTACCCAGCAGCTCTCTCATCTGCTCATAATTCATTTTGGGAGTAAGAGCTTACTTATGGTCGTGTGTGCTTTTGAAGCGCTAACTCCATTACCTTCGCTGGTGTTGACAACATGGCCAATAGCACAATACGTTATATGAACAAAGCGGATCATTCAACTTTTGCGACTTTGAATATCACAATCTAATTCAACCACAAATAATTACAATAATGTATTTAAACAGTTACTTAGTACGTTAGGACTAAGGTGCGTTGCATACACGATTGATGCATTTCATGCCATTGCACTTAAAAATTGTCAGTACTAGTCTCTTGTCAGTACGACCCTTGGAAGAGTTGAAACAGGCGCGGAGACCAATCACCAGGGTCGATGGTGCTATGACGCAACATTGTATCCATAAATATATTTTATTGGAGAAAATAAACAACAACAGAATTCACACAATTTTATTGTTTTGTTACAACGTCAGCCTTGCTTTTATAAATATTTATACACTATTTACAGGTCTTAAACAAGTATAAATTCCGTAAAAAGGTTCAATAAATTATAACCAGATACATGAGATTCTGTATGATACAATGACATCTAGAAAATATATTATAGTTTGCATCCAAATACACCGGACAATACTCACAATAACGATCATAACATTCTCAAGTGATCGGTTGAGCTACATTCGCTCTTGTCGTATTGTCATTGACGCGATAATCCCAAACTGTTTGCTAACTGTGAACAACGCGCTACAACCTCGTCTTGAAGAAGACTGAACGACATTGCTATCAATATGAGCCCAAACACCAGATATGCACAGCACGCAATCATTTGTATATATTCGCTTTTTGAATACTCTACGTTTGGTTTTGAAATTAGAAAGCTCGTAGGAACGAAATCACCGAAGCCTATAGTAGCTAAAGCTATGAAACAGAAGTAGGCGGCGTCTAGGAAACTCCAGTTCTCCCAAGTTGAGAAGATCGCTGCGCCAATGAAAATGTAGCCCAATAGGAGGAAGAGAACTATACTGACGGGAATGTGGCAGTGTTCTATGTGAATATGCTGGATACTCATAGTGTTGCTGCTAGGAACAGCGCAGCTCTTCTGTTTGTTCTCTTGATTCCAGATTAAAGGCACTCGGGATGGTGTATCGTGGGGACAGATTCTGTAAATAATAAAAGTATTAAATTAAAAAGTGTTAATACACAATAGTGTTATAAATTATAAATCCTTATGGTATTAAAGTCCTTCTCAATTAGACATTCCTTGATAATTAATACAGATTATTTAACTTTTCATTGTCATCTTCACATACGTCATATATTTAATTAAGTCGGCTATTAACATGCAATTAATAGACCTCACACACAAACAAAAAATAATTCAGATTTCTGTATTTGTTTCGTAATCATTTCTTAAAGGAAATTAAGTGATCAATCTTCTGTGCCTGACACACACCGTCGACTGTTTTGGGTCTTTCACGATGTTTTTCTTCACCGCACGAGCGAGTGTTAAATGCGTAAATAGACTGAAAGTCCATTGGGTGCACAGCTGTAAATATGTGAATCGAAACTGCGACCCCAGGGATGAGAGTCGCACGTAGAAACCAAACCAACATTACATTTATTATTTTCTGATTACTCATTATCGTAAATTCTTTTAGTACTATTAATCGAAACCTTTTCACATGTAAAGGCCTGCTTGAAAAATAATTTAAGAGTTACTTACGATTCATCAGCATCTTCAGAGTCTTCAAGATCTTCCTGGCTTCTGTGATGAACTTCTCTGCATTCTTCAGCAATCAGTTGGTCAATAACTGGCCCTCGAGGTCGTTGAATTATTCTTCCCCTGGGGAGACCTCTGTTAGGGCTATGTACTGTGGCCATACATTTTGTGTTTCCTATAGTCTTCTTTCTGTCTAAGGTTTGCGTTTGTAACGAGGATGAAGTATGTGGTTCTGTAAATTTGCGGTGAGTTATGTATTATTATAAATTTACAACTATTTAACATAATTTTAAATTTATCCGACGTTTCGCGTGCTTTACAGCGTGCGTGGTCACGGTGACGGTGAGCGGTGGTTAAAATCTCAAAAAGAAACACAATCCGCGAAAATAGAGGACACCGTAAGCCATTTTTGCCAAAACCCTCCATCTTTTAGTCGATACCAACTCCGGGGAAATAAATACAGATAATGCAACTTTCTCTGCAGCTGTGATACTTTTTGACATTCAACATCTTTTGTCTTCAGTCACCGTGACCACGCACGCTGTAAAGCACGCGAAACGTCGGATAAATTTAAAATTATGTTAAATAGTTGTAAATTTATAATAATACATAACTTCAATCCGGTCAAAATAGTGTTTTATTAAATGAATAAAAGTTATGTTAATCAAAGACAATACTAAGAGAAATTTAATTATGGGCTATATTAAATGATTAAATATTGTTAAACAAAGTTTGGTCAACTACTAGACTGCAAAAACCACGATTTAGATTGTTTAAGAACCAAATGCTGTATAATTTATTTTAGTACAAATAAATTAGGAAACTGATTTCGACTATTTTTGTCTTGTTAAAACGTAGACTAAAGATAGTTTCCAGTTTGTTTCTATGGTTACAACGTTTTTCCTTTACAAAAATTGTCAATGGTGACCCACTCATTATAGTTAGGGAGGCGAGGTAGCTAAATGGCGTAATTCAACGGCGCCGTCGAGACCTATCAAAATCGAAAGATAAAATAATTTCGAAATGAAAATCTCGTATGGTAAAATCCATTTTAGCCGTGGGTTTGGCGTGTACGGTTTTTCAAAAATGTTAAAAAAACAGTTACTTGGGCATTCTCGAGCACGTCAGATATTCATATTACGTATGCCCCAAGTGCCTCTGATAAAAACGGTATACTAATCTGCCGGTTTGCGTGGTGGGGGTAGATATATAAAGAAGTCAAAAATGCAAAAAAAAATAAATTTACTCGAGCGCGTCAGATTTTCGGAAGGGGTGTTAAGTAGTGTTTAGTAGTTATTATACTATATTATTGGTGTATTCTATTTTACGATTCATAGCACGACTAATCAAAGGTTTAAGCCTACTTACTTGCCCTGTTCTATGAAAATATATAAAGATAAATCAGTGGCACTACAATCTTTTTAAGTCTGTGCCTAGGATTTCTGTATCTATTTCATGATTTAGGGGATTAGCCATCTTGTGCCTGACACACGCCGTCGACTTTCTGGGTCTAAGGCAAGCCGGTTTCCTCACGATGTTTTCTTTCACCATTCGAGCGAATGTTAAATGCACATAGACAGTCCATTGGTCCACAGCCGGGGATCGAACCTTAGGGCTGAGAGTTGCACGCTGAAGCCACTACACCAATACTGTTCATACATATAGAAAATTTACACAATTCATTAAGTTACCATCGATAAAAGTACTCCGCTTCATTCGACCTAAAGTTGCTGATCTAGGACTTGCCGGCGCCTTTTCAAATACTTGCGAGTACTGGCCTTTTTCCCCAGCCCTAACCATTACAGTCCCAGGAGATCGGTTGGTTCTTGGTGGAAACGACGTGTATTGGTTGTTCTCTATTGGCTGAGGAAGCAATCTTTGTTGCTCGTGCAGTTGAAAATGATTCTCCATCTGTAATTCAAGTGAGTACTGAGGCTGGTATGAATAAAGTAAGAAAGAAAAAGCTTGTGCTTTAATTGTTAAGTTCAGATTTATCTTGGTCAAAATAGCCTGATTTGTTGCGAGAACAGTGGAATTGCTTCACTAGAAACTAGCACTTTATGAAAGTAATTTCACATTAGTTAATATAAATTATAATGATATCACTACAAAAATACAGATTCAGTTGTGATATATAGCAGGTTGAAATTGACAAAAATTATTACAAAATGGAAAAGAAAAAGAGGAAGATAAAGCAAAGGATGGGCAGACGATATGAAGTGAATAGGAGGCACAACTTGGACAAGAAGAGGAGAAAGGGATGGAAGCAGCTGGAAGAGGCCTATGAGTCACAGGACACGCTGATGACCAAAAATGGGTCGTGGGATGTATTAGATTGAGTTAGGTTATGTAACTTAAATAAGTGTTAATATATTATACTGGGTGTCAGCAATAAAGGCTTAATAATTATAATGATACCACCACCAAAATACAGATTCAGTTGTGTGTATAACCTAAAAAAAGTTCTGGGTTTGATTACCAAGGAATCAGTAGTTTCCCCTAGATGGGCTGAATTGATAAATGCTCTAAAAGAATGTAACAAAAGATACACACAACGAAACAAGTTGTTAGCTTCAACGCAAAACGCGTTTCAACGTTTTTACTCGCGAACAGTCCGCAATTTGTACCTCTTCTTTCCGCCATGTATTAGGCACTTTATCTTTTGTAGCTCGAAGCCAAGCTAATCGAGCGAGTCTTGCCAATGAAGCGCCGAGTCCAGCCAAACAGGCCAACGCCAAGGGTACTCCTGCTGCTGCATATGCAACTGTAGCTGCTCTCCCTGCAGCAGTTCGTGGTGAAACGTTCCCATATCCTAAATATATTAAATAGTGTATAAGAGAACATATTCCTAATAAAATGCCTTCTTTGTGTAATTATCATAAAAATCTGTAAGGAGTTATTTTATTACATACAAAAATTACTTTTGATACATTTTTAATTCATTCAGAAATATTCTAACACAATTAAAGAGACAAACTTTATTATACATAATAGAAGAACATTTAGTTAAAAATAAAGTGCACTAGCCCCCACACAAGGATTCCCCGTGTCGGGGGCAGCTAGCCTCTTCCGTTTAACTACTTGACAATAATTTCTACATAAAACTTATAATTTTATAATTAACTATTATTCCACAATAAAAATATTTTCCGTTTCAGCATAGGAGAAGTTGGGTAGTTGTTGTGAATGTTTAAAGTTTTGAATCGTTAGTGAAAATTTGGTTTTGAAGAAAGTGGATAAAGAAAGAGCGTTGGGCGACATAAGTGCGTGTTTTATGAATGAAACTCAAAATAACTTTATTTATATCGGTAACCAAATACACTTATGAACGTCAACAGAAAAGATGTTAAATTGATTCTGTCATATAAATTGTTTGAACTGGGGCAAAAAATATTTAAATAATTGTTATTATAAATAGTATTTATAATCTTTTTTATTGATTTTATACGTTTAGCGAGAGTTTTGAATTTATTTAGTGTTAATTCTCTAATTTCGCTTGGGAGTAAAAATGAATACAATTTCATTATAAGGAGTGGTTTATCTTCTGGAGACTGGTTGGTCGTACGCTTAGATTATCGTATAGCGTTGTGTCGTATAGAGTGGTGTGGTCGGTGTTATGTTAATTTTATACTATATAGTTATAACTATAGATACATTCACATCTATGTCTTCATACTAATACACAAACTATAAAGTCTTCTACACACTTGACTTTTAGCAAATGATTGCTTGTTGAAACTAATTAAATAACCACTGACTCCTTCAAGTTAATGCATTATGATAAAAGACATACCTATTGTAGTTATTAACGTGATGCAATATATGAGAGATCCAGAAAATGTCCATTTAGTATCAAGCACCAGTTCTGGAGACCGCACGTCTGCTTGCCTCGCGGCCGCTACTATGGAAGACTCAAACTTGCGAAGCTGTTCGTGGACCAATCTCGTCCAATTCCTCTCATATAATACATTTAGGCGTTCTGCAACAAAAAAGGTCCTTATTTATTTAATGAATACTTAGAATATTGTGTGCCTATGGATATTAATAGCCCTTGGATTTCTAAAGATGGCTTTTGACTTTTCACAAATAAATTTTTATATGTTGGCGATTAATGCACGCCTATTTAGTGAAGACATGCTGTCTTGCAGTGTTGGCGAAGTGGTTCCAACGTACGACTCTTATCGCTGAGGTCGTTGGTTCGATTGCCGGCTATGCACCAATGGGCTTTTTGTCTAAGTGCGCATATGACACTCGCTCGTACGGTGAAGGAAGACATCGTGAGGAAACCGGGCATGCCTCACCAACCCAAAAAAAGTTAACGACGTGCATCAAGAATAGATTGATCACCTTCTTGCCTATTAGAAAAGATTGCGGAACAGATACAGACCCAGACAAATGGAGAATGTCTGATCTCCTATATATATGGATATACTTATAGTAAATTTAATCAAACTTAAGTCTTAAATCAATACCTATTATAAAATTGTAGCCGATAACTATAATTTAATAGTTTGATACATTATAATAAATATTATAATAAAATAATGAGGGTATAGACGACTCATTGGTCTAGTGGTTAGTACCCCTGACTGCGAATCCATGGGTCCCGGGTTCGATCCCCGGCTGAGACGAACATCGATGTGATGAGCATTTAGTGTTGTGCTTAGGTCTTGGGTGTTTAAATGTATGTATATCCGTTGCATGGGACTAGGTCAATTGGTGTGAATTGTCTTTAAAAAAAATTTCACAAAAAAAACAGGTAATTTAGAAATTTAAAGATGACAAAATCAAGTAAATGTGTTTTTTGTTTTTAAATTTATTTTAGGTAGCCAAACGCTTAATGGTATAATAAAAGTAGTATAGCGAATGTATAGAAAATGTTAGCAAGAACGACAAGTCAGGAAAATAGAGTATTTAAAATAGATTTGGATATATATGTGACATTTATATGTACGAATATTAATATGAGATGAGAATGAGAAGAGAATCAACGATTCAAGAAACCGAAGTGGCACCGTACAGTTGCAGATGAGACAAAGAGAGCCGGAAAGACTCGGAGCGAGGTAAAATACGAGGGTCAAGACCAAATGCGAATGAAGACTCACTGTGGACGCCCTCTGCCCCATGTAGGGGTTATGGGACATAAAGTATATTAATATAAATAGCTATATTGTATTTAATCAAATGTTATTTACGCTTTATGACAAATAAATTTCGTTCAATCAAAATAGGCTTATAAATAATTCATTCATTACGTATATATTGGTAGGTTTTCGGTTCACGTGTAATTACATTATAAAACTTTAATAATGTTTCAAAACAATGGCAATTTTAATTAAATTACTGAATTAATTAAGTGACGCATGAAAATATATTATGGAAGAATATCGTCAATGAAATAATAGTTGAATATTATAAGAATTAATCGAGAATTTAGAGAGATTAAAGGAACTAGATTATATGCGATTCGGAATTACAACGAAGAATGATGCGTCGTTGCCATTTTTATCAGGCTAATATTTTAATAATATGTTCTATCTTAAATATAACGGGTGCAGTTTTTCATTTCATTTTATTATTATTTATTTAACTATTTAAATCCCTGTCTATGGTAGGGAGCAAGAGGATTTCGGGATTTACTAAAGCATTAATATACAGGGGGATAGCTTGTACTCGTACCCCACAAATAGGTCCATATATAAGGCCCTGTGAAGGAGACAGGATCAGATTGTAAAAAAAAATTGACCATCAAGAAATCTCCCCGAGCGCATCAGATTAAGGTAGGGTGAGTTAATTACATCCTAAAAAGTGTATATTCCACTAATCTGACAATTTGAGAGTGACGGAAAAAAAGGGAGGGCAACAAAGTTGTAAAAAAACGTCATCTCGACATTCTCGAGCGTAGCTAATTTTTTTTTATTTTGAAGGAAATAATTCAAGAATAATGAAAATATTAATCTGACGATTTCCGCAAGCCGAAATAACAAAAATTCGTCGATAAAGTTAAATGCGTGCAGCTGCGTGATGCCTACATTTCCTTAAACCGATCGGAAATATACTAAACGGCGTTCTAAATATTTCCCTCAAAATTACATTTCCTGTAATTTGAACCGATTCGGACCGATAGATTTTGAGAAATTTTGAAAAATCTTAAAAAATAAGTTTTTTTTTAAAGTGGTTTCTTTATCGATCAACTTCAAAAATCCGCCTTTGAGCTTGAAAAACCACGTTGATCGCCACAAGCTGGTCAAAAGCGGTTGATTCGTTCGAGAGATATCGTCAACGAAAGAAACCCGAAAAAGTGATTTATTCGGGATTACTCCGAAATTTGTGGTTCGATCAATTAAAATTGCAAAATTACTTATGAGGATGATAAAACTGCGTCGAATACCGCCAACCACGTGAAAATTGCTTGATCCATTCAAAAGTTATTGCGGTTTGAAAATTCCAAAAATAGTGTTCTATGAAACTTCTATCAGACTTTCGAGCTGGGAGAGCTCAAATGCATAGAAATGTTATTTCTTTGAACTCAGCGAGCTCAAAATATCAATTTTAAGCACCCAGGAATGGAATTAGCGGGAAGTTGCAGGGATGGCCCTTTAGGTGAACCGTTTTTCTAAATTTTTTTGTCAGATCAGGCGAATCCCTCTAGATAATCGTCAGATTATGAGACAGTACGTTTAGAACATAAAGATGAACCACAATATCTTAATCTGCGCTTGAGTATTTCAAAATTGCGATTTTTTTGCAAATTACGAAAATGGCTGTGGGTTTGCGTCCCATCGAAATCGTCAGATTAGTAAATGAGAGCTTTTTTGGTGCACTTAACACTCCCTTAGAAAATCTGACGCGCTCGATATTTTTTTTTTTCATTTTCAACCCTTAAATACAACCACCCGCATCATGCAAACGATCAGATTAACATACGTACATTATTAAAAATACGTAGGGCATAGATGCTATCAATATCTGACCGCTCGAGGATGTCCATGCAACAGTTTTTTTACATATTTAACTATCTATAGCCGCTTCCCCCACCGATGAAAAGGAATTTATCATATAACATTTTTTTCTTCTTATTATCTAAGCTTTGCATCCCAATAGGTCTCTACGACGCTCGAGTAAATCCCCATTTAGCATCGTGGGCTCCCCTACCACTAGGCTTGCAAAATACATTGCATCGTGGATATCAAAAGGCGGCAAACATAAATTTTTCGTTACATAAAAAATTCTAAACATATTATGATAATTTATAGAGAGCTTTTAGAAAAATTTAAACAAGCCGATATATCAATTAAAACATTATTGTCTAATCTCTTCAGAATATAGGATAAATTCTAAAAGTAGAATTTAACATTTCAAGTTAAGAGGCCATTATAACTTCGATGGAGCTCCGTCGAAATTAATGAGGTCCGCAATCAGACGTTTAGTTAATCAGAACTGAAAAGAACCATTTAACTTTTAAGTATTTAGCTTTTATTTAAACAAAAGAATGTGGAAGTTCGCACGTTTCTTTTCGGATGAGGCAAACAAAAGGCGGCGAGGACATCGACCGTGCTGTATCTGCGGTTTACTGATGTCTTCGAGTCTAATAGAATTTAAATACCTTTCGTAAGATTTCTGAAACAGTGCAGATCACTACATTTCGATGTCCATGAATCTATTAGCAAAATTAATACTAATAGTTAACACTAATAAACTACCTAGTAATAAGAATTAAAAACTAATAGGTAATAGAAAAATAAATACATTTAAAAAGTTAGGTCCCTGTGGCAAACCTTTAACGCTGGCAGCATTTCCTCGCTGTGTTCAACGAATGAGTATCGCACTAAACAATACATGTTCAATAGTGTTATAGATATAACAAAATAATAGCAAAGATTAGCTAATGATGTATGTGTAGCAGTTTATTGCAGTCGATATAAATTGATAATAAAGATAATATTTTTTAGAAGTAAATGTGAAGTTAATTTGTTTAGGTCGGAAACACAAATCAGTTTGTGCTACACGCTATATAGTTTTATGCTTTTATAACGTCAGTTACAGTTTATGATAGACATAGATAAACAAAATGTTGTGATATTAATTTGTTGTTGGCGTGATGGAAAAATATTAAAGGATAATGTAGAACTACAACCAGGTCGCCAGTATTAAAATACCTCGTGGCCTTTGCGAGTGAAATGGTCTTGTTCTTAGGAAATGAATTGTCTAATCGTTGACACCGGTAGCAAACATCATTACACAAATCATTACATCAAACATAAATAGTTGTTGATATATTTTTAAATTAAAAGTGACATCCACTTTTCATACTCAGAGTTCAGTTAGTAGTTATTATAACAATTATAAATACGATTGACAATTAAAAATAAATAGACATAGACATAACATTTATTACAAACAAAATCACACACACATAAACACATATAATAACAATAATCAAAGAAAGAAAAAAAATATAATGAGAGATAACTATTTTTTCCCCTTTTCCCTTTCGGTTCGTTTCAATGCGTATGTGCTGTGGTTGTAATTGGCCCTGGCTCAGCATGCTGAGGAGCAGACTGTTCCACAGCGCTGGTTATTCTGCCAGAGACCACAGCAGCTGTATCTAAAACCAGCAATAATCTAAACAAGTCCGTATCTTGCTAGTTTTTATTTTTATGGCACACACATTTTACGTCTGTTGTATTGATTATTTTTTATCCATTTGTAACAAAATAAGTCGATCAAACTTGCATTGTAAGCCTAACATAGTTTCTTTATGTTTTCCTTTAACGAGCTATGTTAATTGCGCTCAGAGAAAGAAAAGATTTGAACGTACGGAGTTTACAACACTGCACAGTTCGTATTTCGGCCTCAGCTTGAGGCTAAATTTGACTGATGCAATTTCAGTTGTAGCTGGATTAACGATAGCCCAAGGGACCAAGTCTACAGTGCGATTTCTCTAACCTAGTTTCGTTTTTATTAAGTTTTAGGTTAGTTTATACTAAATCATATCACCTTAATTGTTATCTTAATATAGCAGTAAACAGTTAACATAAAAATAATACGTTAAACTATAAATTCGGGTTTTTGAAGTCGCTTAAAAATAAAAATAGATCGATAATAATAATGGTAAAACACAATTTTTACGTCAAATAATTAGCTAAGGTTTCAGATTATTTTATAATTCTTGTACGTTATCATCATATTTATTTAATCAAGTTAATTTATTATCAAAATAATATATTTATAGCTTTTGTATTTAAACTGATCAATAAGGATGACATTTAATATTCAATGAATCCCATGATTACAATTTTGTATTAAAAATACTTTTTTATAAATGA